AATATTCTATTATATAAATTTTTTATATATACAATAAAAATAAAAAAGCAATAAATCTTTTCTAGTAGTATTTCTTTCTCTTTTCAGTTTCCAACTTATAATTCGAATGACAAAAAGAAATGTCTTTAATTTAGAATGTGAAACTACTGAAGTACCCTAACTATTTTTTTGCTCCTCTTTCTCTTGGAATGTGTTTTATCGGGTCTTTATTTTGGTCTGAGATGCTATGAAAACCTTTTGAATCACCATAAAATGAGTGGGTGAGATTTTTTTTTTTTTTTTCAAAATTTTCATTAGAAAAATTAATTGTCTTTTATTATGAGTTACACAAATAAATGGTTGTTTCACTTTATATATTCCACTTGCATCTACCATCTTCCATATTCACTTAACTTTATTTAGAATTTCATTAAACTACATTTGTGGAACCACTATATTCATGGAACTATTATATTTATGAAACCATCACATTCATAAAACTAACAAGCTTTATTCAATGTTCTAATTAGTTTCATTTATGAATCTACTTAAGTTTATCCATTGAATTTATGGAACAATTCATCCTCCCTTAGCCTATATATAGGCTTGCATTGTATGAAGATGATATGGAAATGGAAGAATAGAAAATATTACTATTTACCATACTTTCTTGATTTCTCCTCTCTTCTCTTTTCATGGTCTTACCTTGTCCTCTTTATTTTTCTCTAACTCAATTATCTCTTATTTTATAAGATCTTTCTAATTAATATTTTTGAAAAAATAATTTTTGATCAAATAAATTATTTATATAAATCATGCATACTAATTTTCAAGTTTATATAACTATTGTAACAAAATCTGCAAAATCAAATAAGATGTACTAATTTGCAAAATAATAAATACAAATTATAATAAATTTGAAAAAAATAGAAACAATCTTTGGTTTGGAATGATGCAATGCATGTGTTTGTACTTTAGGTATTAGCATGTTTTGGAACAACACGATCCTTTGTTTGACAGTTGAATTTGGAAAGGTAAAGGCCTAAGCTTGACTTTGTCCTCCATAGGATTTGAGACTTGATTTTGAGATTTTTACCTTGGCGGACATTTGGAACACACCCCATGAAAAGAAGTAGAGACTTCTCTCAATTGGAATTTGGAATTTTGAGAATTATCAAAAGATTTGAAGCTTGCAATTCCTCTCCTCTTCTCCATTTTTCTTCCCCCCTTTTTATCAAATGAATGATTCATTTATAATCAAAGGAAACTTACCCAATGACCTCAAATACCCTTCACTTTAAGGATAATATGGTTATTTCATAAATAAATTTAATTTAATTAAAGGAAAAATTAATCTTTCTTTAAAGATTTTACCATTCTAACTTCTAAAATTTTATTGAAGTAAAAATATTTTAATTTAAATAATTTGTTTAATGTCTATAATAACATTTAATATAATTATTAAATTTAAAAATCATATTTTTTTTCATATATATATTTAATAGTATTTTTTGAAGGATGTTTTTATAAAATGTCAAACTTGAACTCAGGTAATTTCCACATCACCAATACTTGCCCTAATCTAAGCGCCCATGAATGCCTTCAACGTGCATTTACCAAAAGGCCCAACAATATCTAATGCTGTAATACATGGTTAGACCCAGCAATCTCTAATGTTGTAATACATGGCTAAGCCTAACGGTATCTAATGCTGCAGTACATGATTATATCGCTAGAAATACATAAGGAAGTCTCATTTTTTTTTATTATTTCCTTATTTATTAAATGTCATCATTTTCATCAATTGAGCACTATTCCTTTATACAAGTCATCAATAAACCCATGAATCCAAACTCATTGGGATATTCGAGATAAACTATGAGAGTAGTAGCTTGGCAGGCATAGATGGGTGAATGTTGCCTATCTGGCAAAACGAGGTATTCGCACTAGCGAAGCTTAGTGTTGGCGATGTTGCTCAACTTCGCTAGAAAAGGCTAGTGACAAAGACATGGAGGCAAACTTGATCCCCAAAATCATATTGTTTAATGCTAACTAAAAGCTTAAAATCCTGCTCAAAACCAACTAGAGATGCTGTCTGGGTCACCATCAGCAACTTCCAGTTGTATTCAATGCAAACGTTGGTTGCACAAGTTACAGTGCATGGGACACTGTTGAAAAGATCATGTTTTGTCTAAGAACTCTACCAAAATCTTGGGCAACCGTTGGGAATCTACAAAAATCTTGGTCAGATTTGATTTTGCCAGCTGCACTCAAATACCCCTCAAAAGTGGTATTTCATATGGCTAAAGAGTTACCAAAAATGGACAATCTTTAACAGATTAGCAGTACTTCACTGGAATTGGCAGTGTTTTGTTGGAACTGGTGGTGCTTCACTGAAACTACTGGGTAATTCATAATATCATTGCCAAAAAGCTGTCAGCAATGCCAAAAGCCACTCAAAACTCGACAGCTCACCCAAATCTACCCATTAGGCCACTGTACACCTCTGACCCATCAACTAAAAATTACAAAAATGCCACTGCACATATATATATATATATATATTATTTTTTTCTTCATTTTTCAATAGAGAACAACAATTTTCACAAATCTAACTTTCTTCCTTACGTACCAAACTCCCATTTTTCTTTTGAAAAATCTTTCATCTTCAACCTCTCCCCAAATACACCAAAAATACCCAAAAACCGCCATTTTTATTATATTTTCTACACTTCCAACATTGCTAAACACTTTCCAGCTTTGCTGAACATCATGATTGGGAGACAACATACTGCAGATTCATTTTTTGGGTTATCTTCATGAGTATCAAAGGTTCAAACTGAAGAGTTAGCATCAAAAACGAGATTAAACCCTCCATTCACAAGCCCCCACAACGGTTATCATTCCTTCTCCAATCACTACTTTCAAGTTTATTCTTTTTGTCTTGTTAAAGCTTGAAGGAGACCATTGTTCTTTTTATCTACAACATGAGGGTTGCTCATTATGGAGTAGGAGTATTTGTCAAGGATAATAGAGGGTACATTAATTGTTTTTGCTATTATGCTATAATATACTATGCATAAATGCGTTTCTCAAGTTGTAATGTTTAACCCTTATATATTTTCTATCCTTGCTAGTCCTACAGTAATGTACATTTCATTTTCATTATTTTGGTAGTTGTGTAATCATTCTCGTTATCTTGGGGGCACTATCGTCACCCCATTATTTTTGGCTTGGCTGGGGATGCTTCATTTCCAAACTTTGCCGAAGATGCTCTATTTCCAAACTTTGCTGGAGAAGCATTATTCTTGGTCTTCGCTGAAGAAACTCTATTTCCGAACTTCACTAGAGAAGCATTACTCCCAGTCTTCATTGGAGAAACTCTACTTCCTGACTTTGTCAGAGAGTTCTTGTAGTTCCTCCTTACAAGAAGGAGCATCATCATCACCTCACTTTCCTGACCTGGCTAGAAATTTTGTACTTTTAAACTTTGTTGGAGAATTTGTTGTTGACCGACATCGCTGAACAAAACAAGACGACTCATGGCACGTAGCCTCCTACACGTGAAATGGTGCTACCAAAAGAACCCTCCTCATCTTTCGCAAGTGTCATCCTAGTCAGCGTCCACATCATCTCCATTGCTGACTCATCATCATACATCACCAACACACCCCAACAGTATTAAATTTTATACATTTAATAAATCAATTAAATATATTTAATCAATCTAAAAATTAATATGTATAATCTATATAAATTAAAAATTAAATCCTACAGTTAATTTTTCAAAATAATCATTGAAAGGTAATATTTTTAAATTGAGATTTTTTTAAATTAGAATTGATATATATTATTTTCATATCTCTTTAAAATTTTTAAAATACATAGTAGATAAAATATAAATTAAAATGAATTTAATTTGTATAACTTATAATACCAACACAGCATACACATATATATATATTTTTTGTATATCAAGAAAAATAACTGCTTAATAATATAAAAAATTTTAAATTAATAACCATCAAACTCTCGTCTACATGCCAACGCTCTATACCTACACCAAATGAACCCAATATAAGTCCCCGTGAATTTCTTCATCTCTACAAGAATACTTACCTTTTTGTCTGACTTGGGCTAAACAAGAAGAAAATAATCTGAAAAAGAGCAAATTAAAAGGAATTCTTTTTATTCTTATCCCATCTAAATTGAATTATAAAATAAATAATGATACATAAGATTTAAATTTAAAATTTAAAATTAATAACTTAATATAAATTATATTATTTAAAATATTAATAAATAAATTTTATATTATTTAATAATTAAATTTTTTTTTATTTTTTAAATTTATAATATTATATATTAATTAATTTAATAATATAATTTGTATTACATTATTTATTTATTATAAAATTTTCACCCTCATTTTCATACTCCCGATCATTAGTGGTTGAATGGGGGATGGATTGCGCAAATATAGACTTGTCCCCCTATATTAAGAGGTTATCCCTCAATAATTAGCTCCTTGTTCTTAATTTAAAATTTCATAGTATTATTTTATAAAGTGAATTATATGTAACTTATTTTGTGAAATTATTTAAATATTTAAATATTTATTTTTATATTATTTTTTAAAAGACATTTAAATAATTTTATAAAAAAAATTACATACAATTTATTTTATGAAAAAATTTTCAGCTAAAATTTTATATCGTGAAATTTAATACAATCTCAATTACAAAATAATTTTAAGAATAAAAAATAGAAGAAGGAAAAGAAAAATCGCAACGCAGGACGAACTGCCGTTTGGAAATTCTCTCACCCCTTTTTATCTGTCCCCTTCCCCTACCCTCAATTTGCGAACCCGAACCTGTCCCTCAGATTCTTCGATCTCTCTTTCTTCCTCAAATTATACCTTAATTCGGTGAGTTTCTCTTCTTCACCTCTCAATTTTCTATTTCAATTTAATTTTTCGTTGAAAAATTTTGGTTCTAGGGTTCGTTATCTGTGTTGTATCCTGTGAATTTCGATATTTCCGCTCAAAGGTCATTCCTTTTTATTGAAAAAATCTGGGTTTTTTTTCCCCCTTGTTTGTTTGTTTTGCAGGGATTGTTTGTCCCGTCAGGCTTGTGTTCCTGCAGTGAAATTGTTCATGATAATCTGTACGATAATTAGCTTTTCTTTTTCCCTTTTTTGTTTTTGATATCTTGCATGTCTGCTTTTCTGATTCTTGATTGAGTAAATTATGGGTTTTTACTTTTTTTTTTTCCCTAATTCTGTTGTTTTGATTGTATTAGGAATTTGAGATTTTTAGAAACAAGGTAGTTTCAGAATTTCTCCTTTTTTGTGTTTTGTAAGGCTTGTAATTTATTCTATCACCTGAAGTCACTTTCTCTTCAATTTTGTCTTAGATATTGGACTTTTTTGGGAAAATTTAAGATAAGACTAGATTATGTTCTGGAAGATAATTTTTGGGTAGTATGGTTGATAATATGGTAAGGACATCTATAATCTATGTCGATTTCTATGGAAAGGAATGTAATTCGGTTTCAGAAAGTAGTAAGAAACGTTTTTCCCTATTAGAATTATTTGTTTATTAATATTATTATTATGATTCAGCGTCAGAAGGTTGGAAGAAATGTTTTTCCCTATTAGAATTATTTCTCTATTAATATTATTCTTATTGCTGCTATATTTTTTTCACAAAAAATTTGAATCTTGCCGAGTCTGCATCTCTTGATGTCTATTTTATAGTGAAAATACTTTTGGTATAAATGCAATTGCTAGAAGTTTAGCATGCTTTGGTTGAGGTCTATGGTGTTGTTTTTTTTTTTTTTTGGGTGACATACTACAATTATTTACTATTGGCTATTAGTGAGAACTTGATGAAAACATTATGTGCCATTGATACCATCCAATGTTGCACCATGAGCCTCAACCAATTTAAACACATTTCA